TTGAAATAAAAATAGTGTCAAATTGTTAACAACTATAAAATACAACCTAAAAAAATTAACAAAATCACTTAAGAAGGGGATGAGGGGGTCAAATTAAATAAAATTCCATTAAAAATCTATTTCAAAATGAATTTGCCTATGAAGACAATTGGGTATTGAAATAAAGTTAGTGCCAAATTGTTAGAAACTAAATTTTATTTAATTTGACCCCCTCATCCCCTTCCTAAGTGATTTTGTTAATTTTTATTAGTTTGTATATTAGTTTCTAACAATTTGGCACTAACTTTATTTCAATACTAGATTGTCTTCTTAGGCAAATTAATTTTTAAATAGATTTTTAATGGAATTTTATTTAATCTGACCTCCTCATCCCCTTCCTAAGTGATTTTGTTAAATTTTTTAGGTTGTATATTATAGTTTCTAATAGTTTGGCACTAACTTTATTTCAATACTAAATTGTCTTCTTAGGCAAATTAATTTTTAAATAGAGTTTTAATGGAATTTTATTTAATTTGACCCCCTCATCCCCTTCCTGATTTTGTTAACTTTTTAGGTTGTATTTTATAGTTTTTAACAATTTGACACTATTTTTATTTCAATATTCTGTTATCTTTACAGAAAAATTGATTTTTTAATGAATTTTTTTATTGGATTTTTATTTCAGTTTACCCCTTAATCCTTTCTCTAAACACTTTTTATTTGTTTCTTGAAAATTTAGTAGTAACTCGGGTGTTTCCGGTAAGTGGCTGCTAACTTCACACCGGTTAAAAAACTATTTAATTCTATTAAAAGTCAAACAAAGTAATCGCCAAAATCAAGAAAAAATATTTTATAAAATCAATTAAAAAAACTGTAGGGCACAATTCAAACCGTTCTTATTGTGACACCCTTTACAATGCCTGAATAGTCGAAATACCTTCGGAAGAGACATTTTAGATAGTTTGAGTTTAGAATAGTTGTTGATGTTGAGGTTAATTTAATTTAAAAGGTATTTGCGAATGTCTGTTCATTTCTATAGGTACTGCACATAAAAACGATTATAAGGCCATATTTTATAAGATTTTTGAAATATCAGAGAGATTTGCTAAACATTAATTTAATTTAACTTGAAAATCCTGCGAGTACCTTAAATGGTGATATTTACAAGAAGAGCAATAAGAAACATTAATTTTTTTATCAAGATCTGATAATTGATGCGGAATTTTCCTGTTAATGCGCCACCGTGCATAAACCCATGGACTATTTATTATAATGCCATATTAGATAACAATTTTGAAATATGAATTTGACAGAACTGATTAAAAAAAAAATTAATTTAACTTGAAATTCTTCACGAATTTAATAATGTACTACACCAAAAACTGGTTAATCTTCAATATCTCTTAGGCTTTGAGTCAAAAATAAGTGTAACCTTGAACGAATAATAAGAATAACGATATTCGTACTTTAACACTGCTGAAGAATGCTTTTTTGATCGACAACTAGATGGAACCACTTTAGCATAGAGCAGAAATAAATACAGTTAATTCATAGTACGAGAAAATACTGTTGAAAATCGAAACTTGGTGACCTGTTTTATTTGTGATGATCATTGTTTGATAATTTGCTGTTCAATCTATGAAAATAGTGATAAAAATGATCCACAATAACTCAATTTGCAAATTGGAACAAAACGAATAAAACGTTAGATCAGATTCATAATTTCTGTTCATACTTGCATACAAACAAAATTTTAAAAGTAATCATCATACATTTACCTTATATGTCATTCTAATAATCTAACACCACAAAGAAGTTGTTGACCTTGCACTAAGAAGAATGCAACATTTTCTTCAAGTACGTGTATTATATACATATATGAGGGCGATTCATTAATTATTGTTCCAAACAAGCAAATAATTTTGTTTCACGTCCCCTACATAATTAATACATGTCGATGTCGAGAAAGCCTTTGAATAAAAACCCGGTGCTTGTTTTTCAAGCCACGCTTTGCCACCAATTTCGTTCCATTCATTAAATGTTAAAATTTTAGATTTAAAAAAATTAAAATACTTATAGGAAAAATTTTAAAATAAAATGTTTTAGAAAAGTATTTATTATGACAATTATTGTTTAAAAACAGAAATCGTATTTTTTTTGATAGTTTGCTACGTTCTTTTATTAAAAATTTCTGAACTCTACACAGATCAAAAATGTTTTATAAGGCAAATACTATTTAGAGCTTAAATGTGGAGTTGTAAATATTAAAAAAAATATGCAGAAAAACTAAAAAGTGTAACAAAATTACACAACCTTGTATGTTAACAAAAAAAAGTTACATGTTGGATGTATGCAAACAGGTATCATGTTAAAACGGTAAATTTGTAAATATGAGCAATATTCGATTGAAAATCTGCTTTGAGATATTCATACTGATGACAAATTATATGATTGTGCGTTACAGTTGATTATTATTCAATTAAAAATTTCAGTCCAACATATATGTATCAAGTTTCGAAAACTACAAAGCCTTGTGAAACAACAATAGACCATTAAAGGGTAGATAAATGATTTAAAAACTTCGAATATGTAGTATCTGTATCACAGAGGTTGTTTTAATCACAAATTACTGCCATTGTAGTTCAAACACGTGAAAATCTAGAATGGGCTAGACGCGACTAAGATATTCCTAAGTCCACCATCATAAAAACTTTTTGATAATTTCAAAGTGGAATTCGATTGTCCACATTTGGGCAACCAAAAGTTTCGTTTGTCCACCCACAAAATCGAGATATTTAAAAAATAAAATAATTAACATGGTCTTTAGGGATAACCTTAATACATTTCATACGAATTGAATACGAGAATCGTTTGTCTACATTATTTTCGTTTCAAGCTATGACCAAATTAAACTCAAAATATGGACAATTAATAAGTTTTTCTAATTTATTAAAACTAACTATTGCAATCGTTTGTTCACACATTTTCATTTAAAAATTACTTAGGTATTACCCGAATATTTCCAAATCTCTGTAATTCGTTGTGACAATGGCGGTAAATATGTAAAAAAGACGTCAGAACATGAACATGGTGTAAAAACAGAGGCACTGTCCTTGATTATACAGGGTGATTCATAACTATTGGGACAGAGGCTAAAGGCAGGTTATTTGGACCAAAATAAGATACAGGGCGTTAAAGTTGTTTTTTTTTAATAATGTCACTGTATATTTATGAATTGTTATCAAAATCGGCACAGAGGCATATCTTTGGACAAGGAATATTATGTTATGCATTATTTCACATTTTGTTACAGGGGGCGCCACGTGAATGATTCCTGATGTTGAAATTAAGTGGTAGCTTTTTTTGACGAAACATTATAGTGTTTTTGATTAGAAAATATGATGTAAACATCATTTCTCATATAAGGATTTAAAAAAAATATTATTTCATTAATGAAAAGTGTACTTTGCAGTGTCAGAAAATTGTATCTGATACATATGTCATTTCTTGTCATTAAATTATTTTTGCTGTGAGATTAGTCTATTATTAATATTTAACGCACTGTATCTTATTTCACAGCAATATTGTATTAAGGAATATTTGGCCTTATCGCCATATTTTGGTCAAAATAACCTGCGCTTGTCCTATATCACAATAGTTATGAATCACCATGTACAGTTCCACATACAGCATCAGCTATCGAACGCTTTTCAATAGACTTCAATAGCATTAGCGCGAGCAGGATACGAATAATATCGTTGCCATATTATATGGCCTGGCCAACGTTATGTATTTATGGTGACGATGGCTTATCAAACGGCTTTGATAAACAAGAGATGGATAATCTACTTGAAGATTTAGAAAAAAACATTTGAAATGGTAAAATTACACAACCCCACCTCATTTATTGGGTTTGAGATAAGAAAACAAAAAACAGTTATATTAATCCAACAAAAATATATTAAACAAATTTTAAATAAACATTAAATGGAAAATGCTAACCTGCTTATTTATAATAAAATTTCGAAGAATTCCAAATTGTCTTCAAGACAGCCCAAGACCACCATAAAGCAGCCTGTAGTCAAAAAATGCCTGTTAAAACCATTTAGTTTTAACTTTATATTCTTAGAGAGTTCTTCAAGGCAACTTTGTTTAGTGCATTTTAATCTTTATGTGCTTAATTTTATTAAAAAACAGTTTTTTCTCCGAATGGAAGGGGGTAGAATTAGTTTTAATGAAGTCATCATAAATCCAAAAGGCATTTCTTTTAACCAAATTGACAAAATTAAAATATGTAAGCTTTATAATATTCTTAAAAGGTAAAAATTATGTTTTGGATTTAATGTAGAATTTTATTGAGTACATAAAAATAGTTTTCTTAATAGGTTTTAATAATAAAACTACATTAAAACAATTTGTTCCAAAATGGATAGTTTTACAAATCAACTTGCTATTTAATCGTTTAAAATAGCAAATTAGTTTTAAAACAGCCAATGTTAAGAGTATCATAAAACCAGTATAAGATCAATAGGACATTAAGAGTAAATAGTTTTTATTTCAATTTACAGAGGGCATTAAATTCTTTGCATAGGAATAAGTGGTCTTAAAAAACTTTTAGTTTATCTTAAGGTAATTTTAAAACCAATACAGTTTTATTGAACATATTAAATAAATTTAAAATTGCTATTTAGAGGAAAATATGAGTATATTTTTCGACTTTTAGTAATTCCAGGTTTACAAAAAAAATAAGCTTTGTAAAAAAAAGTATTTGAAATAAAGCATTATATTTGTTGAATAAAAATACGGTTACAAACTCGTTTTTTAAAAATTTTGCTTTGTTGATAGATATTAAAAATGCATTATTTTTATATCAAAATTTGGTATTCTAAAAAATACGATTACAAGCGGAAACTTGGAATTACTTTTGAGTCAATTTCAGTACATGGATAACGCTCTTAAATAAAAAGCTCCATTCTGGCAATCTAGTGCATAAAAGAAAAGGAATTTAATGTAAAACTTACCGTTGGAACGCACTGGTGACTGGGAGAGATGAAGTCAAGACCTCGTTGGCCCTTTCCGCTAAAGCAATGCTTGATGTTCTGCATAAACTTCCGCCTAATGGATTTGAGTGAATATACGCAAAGCGCCGACAAATCGGAAGGTTTATTGGCAATCACAGCATCACTTTCACTAAACACAGCAAACAAAACATCGTCTTGGGCTGTGATACCTAAGTCCGAGGCAAGATCAGAACCCGCTTTGCCCACATACGCGGCCTGAACTAAGTTGTATTTTCTCCCTCCTTGAGCCTCGCTGATACAGTCCATCGGAATCTCAGTGTAAGAGTAGTAGTTTTCGTCATCGTGACATACCCTAACTAATTTACTAATGTATTGACTGGAGGTAGTATGTTTCATTTGGGTTGTTAGAAAATAACTGAAGCCTTCAGAAGCAAATCCGTAGACGTAGGTAATTGGATATCGTTCTCTAGCTAGCGAATTTACAAACATCCTAGTGCCTGTCGTTACAGCTGTTTGAGCTATTGAAAACATTTTGTCTCGATCTAGAGACCGACTGCTGACCGCTGGCACTTCGGACCTGTACGGAGATCCTAGGGTAAAGGTCACACCGACATACATCACTTGCGATACCGGGGGATTTGGAGGCCCAGGAGCAATAAACGATACAGTCGAGGCCGTCGCGTTATTCGCCACCACGGCTTCCCTTACTTCTTGACTTCCTTCGGATATGTTTTGTAGAGGTCTAACCGAGCAAATCCCTTGAGAGAGACTCCCACAAGATATTAGCCTGGAGGTGGTGTAATCGATCACTAGAGCCTTGTTGACGTTGTCTGTGAGCTTCTTATTTATAGCGCTGTTGCATTCGAGGACTGAGCAATCATCGGAGTCCAGTTTCGGACCGGTTATCTCTGTTATCACAGAATCTAGGTCGGGAGATAGTTGGTACAATCGGTTTATAGCTCCGATGTAGACGCGGCCCGTGTTTTTATCGATTACAAGATGGTTAAAAGCCTGCACTTTCAAATCCGAAAATGTCCTGACTATTTCTTTTGTAGTTGCTGTTGCCCTCTGCGTGACCATCGACATGGCCAGGAAAACGAAGAAAGGGAAGGACCGCTTCATGGCGGCGCCTGCTGTTTTTCTTTTTCACGTCATTTGGCCCTATAACAAATAACTTTTATATAATAGCTGCATCAAAAATATGGCATAATAAATAAAATACTAGGAAATTAAGATATAAATATAATGTTTGGCATTTTATATTATACTCTTCACAGTTTAACATACAACCCTTCAGAATTGCGGACAAAATCGTAATATCGGACATTGTTAAAAGTTGAGGAGAATAATTTGGATCAATATTAAAAATTTTAAAATTAACAAATAACTTTAAAATATTTTTTAGTTATCGGCGTTCGTTACAGATCGATAGAACAAAAACGAAATAAAACATGTTAAGCATTATCTAAAACAAAATTTGAACAGGGTTTTATGTATACAGGATAACAATGTGACCAGGACCACGTTAATATCTCCTTCATTTCTTAAACGATTTGGACAAAAACTTAAGATACAATATACTATGGCTAATGTTTAACCTGTTGTATCAATACCTTCTAAAATATATTTTAGGAGGTATTGGTTGTATTCCTTGTAATAATATAAATGATTTCACTTTTTAGCAGGGAGATTCAAAATATCGGACAAAAGGTTTCTTGGTGCAATTTTAATGAGCATAAAACTGCCCAACTTATCTGTTATCGATTAAGAAATGGCAATACTGTCCCTATGAAATAATAAAGACCCTGTATTTCGACATAGTCTCCCCTCATAAACGCATATGAGTGCTACACGGTCCACGTGAAATACATCGCACTTTTCTCTTTAATGTCAATTTTCATTAGTTTCAAAACTATAATGAATGAACGGAACCCTCTAACTGCCTTATTCAAAAGAATATTGCAATATTAAACCCCGACAGACAGTCTAATACAAAAATGTTCATTAAAGTCCATAATTTCCACATGACAAAACATTCCAAAGTATATCAAAGCAAAATGATATGCAGGGTGTCCCAGAACTCGTTGCTAAACGGAAACCCCAGATATCAGACTTGATTTTATGTTGATTTAACTTAAATTACCTTAATTAGAAAATGGAAAGGGAGCTAGAGCTCTTTGGTTTGTTTTCACTTTGGGGATGTCAACCGACTTTTCTCACTTCACGTTTCTATCATTTCAATTATTCTTCTATTTAAGTGTTAATTTTGATTTAATTCAGAACCGCGTGTAGTTATCACGGATATGACTCGTACCACTCTATATTTATAGTATAGCGAGTCCAGATGAACGTGATGAATAATACAATAGTTTATTGTACCACTCCAAAACAGTGCATTCTATGCTCCGAAATAATTTTCCTATTCTGTACATCTTTGTTGGTTTATTCTGTAACTATATTGTTTTTTTTAAATCATTTTTTCAGACCTATATCTAAAGTACCATTGTTTTCATATTTTTTAGATATCAAAAATTTGATTCTTTTCCAATTGATTTACAGTTCTTCCTTCTACTAGTACCAAAGAGTACAAAATATAACTATAAAAGAGAAGTCACTCGCGGCATTTACAAAGGAAATCGCGCTTCAAATGCGGGCCGACAAGTCGGCGTTTTTTCAAAGAGTATAGAGCTAATTGGGCTATACCGGGGTAAGCGGTAAGACGCAACGGCGAGGATAGTGGAATGTAACGGTCAATACACAGCGGAATCTAACGTAGCGGAGCAAACGAGCCTTACGCGTTGAACTACACCGGTATACTGCCGATCGAGAAAGGACTGTGGAGGACTGGCGGCTGATCGCGTTAGAAGGCGGTAATTGGGCGAGTGACTCCTCTTTTATAGTTATATTTTGTACTCTTTGGTAGTACTAACTACTCGAGCGTGCCAAATGAAATTTAATTGCAATAAAATAATTGATTTTCGCTATATACTATTTATTTACTAAATTTAAAAAACTTTTAAATTATAGTAGTTTTTGTAGTAGTTTATTCATCCAAAAATATAGTTATAAAAAATACAAATGGTAGCTTAAAATTAAAAGTAATTGAATGAATAACCAAACAAAAAAATAAGACTCTGATTGGCTTAAAAATGGTGGTGTGAAATTTTCTAAATAATAATCTACTGTTCCAAAATTTTCCAGCTGCTGCCCACAACAAAATTCTTGAATCCGCCCAGAAAAGGGCCATTCGCCTAATTAATGACTTTAATCTCACTGAAAATCTCGCTGCTCTCGTCCAACTACTTCCAGTCAGCGATTATACCCTTGTTCTCTCGATTTTAGTAATATCTGCTCTTCGGCACTTAGTATAGTGCACGCTAGAATTATTTTACGTTATTTCACAAGTATATTTCAGTATTACTACGAAAGCGGCATCCAGCAGCACAGTGAATGTCGAAAAACATAGCTGTCAAATTGCAAAAATAAAATTTTCCTATTGTAATTTATTATTAACTGACTGCCCTTGCTATCGACTTTTTGAGATCACATAATATACTGGCAGCAAGGGCTGCGCTTCAGTGAACATAATTTTATGAGTGAATCATATATGATTCACATGGTAGATAACCTGTTAAATTTAAAACATTTATTTAACTGAAATCTCGTGATGGAGTGATGAATCCACTAAATGTTCCCTCAGTACTTCTCCAAATAAGGAAAGATATGTCTTCCAGCTTATTCGAACAATAATTTGATCAAATGCGGTTGTAGTCATGGATAATGCCCCGTATCATTCCCGATAAACAGGTTAAATACCGAATTCAAAAGATCCCCTATAAGTTATAAAGGGTGTCTCAAAAATATTTTCGTTCATCAATACGTCCGCTGGCACAATAGGCACATTCCTGAGAAAGGAAGCAATTGGAAAATGGTGATATACAGTGTTAAGTTTTAGTTGCAATGAAGCGATTTACGGGACAACAACGGACTTTTTGTTTTCGTGAGTTTTATGTAAACAATGATTCTTATGTTCTTGTGCGTCATTTGTATAGTAATCATTATAACATAGCAAGAATGAATGATGTTCCAACTACAAATTTAATTAAATATTGGTTAAGAAAGTTTGAGAATACTGGATTTTAAATTTGCACATGAGATATCTTTCATTCTTGCTATGTTATAATGATTTCTGTACAAATGACGTACAAGAATATAGGAATCATTGTTTTTATAAAATACACGAATACAAAAAGCACGTTGCAGCCCCGTAAATTGCTCCATTGCAACTAAAACTTAACACTGTCGACCACCATTTGCCAACTGCCTTCTATCTCGGGAATGTGCCAATTGCGCCAGTTAACCGATTATTAAACGAAAATATTTCTGAGACACCCCTTATCTTCATTTTTAAATAATATTGGTACAACATATCCTTCCACAGCTTTAAAAAAAGGTCTGTTGGCTATATTGAATCTTAAACCAATATATGTTTTGATGAGATGGCTAAAAGATTCGGTCATACCGTTATACGTTTACTACCATTTTATTGTATATTTAATCTTATCGAATTGATCTGGAGTAATATCAAGGGGGAAGTAAGAAAGATAAATGCCACTCCTACGTTGTCTCAAAGTATGTTAGATGTCATTAGAGAAGTTGTTGCAGGGATATCTCAAGAAATAATAGACTAATTGTGTTCGCAATATCGATAATAATGAATAGTCATTCTTGAATCATAAAGATAATTAAATGAAAATATTTTTATTATTTTTTTTTTTTTTCATTTATTTATTCTTTATTCTATTTTACAAACGTATTTTATCCAAGAATTATTAAACTCAAAAATTTGGTAATTCTCTTTTAAGACAGATATACTTAATTTAGACTAATAAAATATTATTCTATTAAATCATATTAAAACTTGATTATTTGAATTTTTCACATAAATTTTGAGGTTATGTGAAAAAAGTGTAATCACAAAAGTTGTAGGTCTCTTTATTACCTACAACTTTGTCATTTTTTTTTTCCATAGGACTTGTAGTTTTTCCGGAAATCAAGATACACCGTTTTTTACCCTTAAAAACTCACCCCCTTCCACTTCCCGGCCTTAGATCGCCCGTAAATTATTTTTCCTTTCATTTTTGTTATATTCTCGTCCTTTTTTAACGGGTTTCATCCTACTATTATTTTTTTGGTTTTAAAAATTATCAACCCTGGTCTAATGTCCGTGTGAAAAATATATGAAAACCACATCTTAAATTTTGCTTATGAATCTACTGTTATTTTTTACTTTATTTATCAATTTTTTTTTTCTGAATCTCTCAACATTTAGGTCTATTTCTTATCGTGATATGATATGTAGCCAATAACCATTCTTCACCAGAGAAAATTAGGATATTGAATTATGAAAAAACTAAAAATATATCGATAGAATAGATCACGAAATGACCTCAAATACAAAAACAAACTTTCACTGGGTATAATGATTGTGTAGTTAAACATAAATTTTTTTAAATTTTGCAAAAGATAATCAACTTAAGAATATATTGAATTATAAATCCGTAGCGAAAGTAGGTGCAGTTTTAAAGGTTTAGTTTTAGCGAGTAAATATAATTTACTAAAGATAAAATAATACGAGGATGGGATGAAAAGTTTCCGGCCTAACCTATAGTAGGCCCGATTTGCTTTCCTGTTCCAACGTGTCTGTGTAGTGTAGCCTTGCTTGTCGTCAGTATACGCTCGAAGTTTAAGGTGAGTGCGTCAAGTAGTTTGTGTTCTGGTTATTTTAAAAACTTATAAAGTGCGCCACTTTTAAAAGATGGAAAAAAACGAGATAAGAGCGGTGATAAAATATTTCCATCAAAGGATTATCGCAGACAGAAATAAAAGCTGAACTAGATGCTACACTAGGGGAATATTTACCACAGTTAAAACCTGGGTAGCGGACTTTAAACGTGGTCTTACTAGCACTGATGATGCTCCACGTTCTGGCAGGCCAAAAACGGCAACTTCTGAAGAAATGGTGCAAACCGTTCACAAACTAATTCTAAAAGATCGCAGATTAAAATTGGAAGAGGTAGCTGAGGCTGTGGGCATATCAAAAGAGCGAGTTCACTATATTTTGTGTGAAGTTTTAGATATGAGAAAGCTATCCGCCCGAT